TCATCTGCCCACCTCGGCCTCGCAAAGTGCTGGGATTATAGGTGTGAGCCACCACACCCAGGTAATGGCATTTTTTTAATCCTTCGTAGTTTAGTTGATAGCTTCTGATTAGGTGAAAATATTCATAAGTATCTAGTAAAACTACCAAGATGATCTTTTTAATCTGTGAGACTCTTCTACTGAGTCCTAGGGTAATAATATACTAAAGGCACTAAGAAATGACTCAAAGCTAAAAATCAAGGACCACAGAAAATTTAAATAAAAAGATTATAGCTTATAAAGGTAACAGTAATATTAGGAACCAGAATTTTGCTCCTTTAATTTCTGTGCTTCTTTTCCCAAACCTCTAGAAACAATTTTGAAAGAAAACATTTGTATAAGAACCAGAGATAAAGAGGATGGCAATTTTTTAGAACGTGGTCAGCCATGTAAACAAGAATTAAATTAGAAATGCAAGAGTCAACAAGTCAATACAAGTCAACCTAAAAATATGTAATTTTTTCAGTAATACTTTCTTCACCTTTTAACTAAGTTATAAATATAATCAAGAAAAAAGCAAACTAATCTCCACAGTAGTACATATATTTTTGCTCAATTAACTGAATATATTCCACGTAAATAATCTAAAGAGTATTTCCAACAAATCAGTCAAGATACTGAGTGTAACATTTTCCGTTCTATATCAGAAGGATAAACTATTAGATATTTATCCACATCTATCAACAAGAATTAAGTACACTGGGCCTAATACTTCTCACACAATGTTTTAAAAAATCCACATCAATAAAAAGACAATATTTGTAAATGTAAGGTTTATATTCAAGTGTGGATTACACAACCAAGGGAGAAAAATGATGGAACAGAGTTCTGAGGCCAGAGGTCTAAGCCCTTCTCAGTAACTAATTAGCTTTATGTCCTTAGGTAAAACTAAAAACATCTTGGGCCTCAGTTTCTTCAGTCTACAAAACGAGGCAGTCAAACTACATGATCTTTAAAGCTACATCACTTAAACAGTGTGGAAAAGCAAATGTTTGTCAGTGCCTAGAATATACAATACTATAAAAAGTGTAACTCTTTGGCGTGATATCAAACAACACAATATAAAAAAATCTTCTCCCTAAAATTGGAAGTGTATTTCTTACCCATCTAATCTCCAAGTTTATAGCTATGATCAAATAACACCAGTACTGAGGAATTAATATATTCACTGAAATCTCATGTGCTTGTTATTTATTTTTCTATAATATTTAAGTTGAGGAAGTGCCTCAACTGGGAAAATGTAGCATGCCCAATATAATTACTCTTTTAAAAAATATTTATTGAACATTTAGCCAGGCATTGTGATAAGTGCTAAAGATGTAGTAAGGAACAGGATAAGCACAGATCTTCCCTAGTCACATTTACAGACTAAAGAAACAGAAGCAAATGGGGAATTTCAATACAATGGGGCAAAGGCCAAGAAGAAAAAGTATAGCTTTACACCATCAAAAAAGTATATAAATTCACCTTTTTGTTTCTTAAGGGAATAAATACTGGATCCAGGAATTAAATGTGTTCTTATATGAACACCAATGCACTCAGGATTCTGCCTGATGTGGAAGCACAGCTAATACCAGCTTTTCTTTATTCTCTGTCACAAAACAATAATGTAACGTGGACTCAACAGTGATTCTCTCTAGTAGGTGAATCCATCTTGAGAGTGCTGGCCCGTGCTAGATATGACATGCTGTCCCTACCATCTCCATGTGAATATCTTTAGTACTTCTCACTTCTTGCCATGATGTGAACAAAAACTGTGATCTGTGTCTTTGTCCTTGCTTCTCTTGGGGCCTTCCTGTCCAACTAGAAATTTCTGACTATCAGTCTCCCTGGTGGAAACTCTTTCAATACTGCCACGAATTTGCCTGTCTGGGAGACTACCTGTTCATTTATTCAGATACTAACCCCTGACTGGAGTCTTCTACTTCGGCTAGAAAATCCTGGAAATTTCTTTCTCTATCACCCTAGAATACAACATCTCTCATCACGGGTATGCTGTCAACAAAATCACTCCAGTCTGTCCTTTCCTCTGAATGTCTGAACAATTTTCTTAATTCAGACTCTCACTCTAAGCTTCTTAACTGGTCTCTCTACCTCAAATCTTACCAACTCTAATCTACCTTTCACTTCACTACCAAAATATAAATATAAGCAATGCTACTCTATCCTGTTCAAAACTCCTTTGTGATTCTCCATGCAATGTAGATCTGAATCCAGGATCCTCAAAATGGCAAATAATGCTCTACTGGATGAACCTAATCCTAATCCCTCTGGAGCCCCATCCCCTGCCATTCTCCATGTCATATGTTCATATTTTACTATTGCCAAATTATTTGAGCTTTCTTTGCATTCATCAAATTGCTTCTGTTCTGTGCCTTTCCTAGAACTTTGTTCTTTGCATGGTTGCTCTTTGCTCTTTACCTGGATGGTTTCAATATTCATCTGGGACATCAGCCTCTGTGGTAGCTTCTGCATGCTTCTATTACAGCTCTTACTTATAAGACTGAAATTATCTGCATATATGTCTGTCTTTTCTAAAGACCAGGACAACGTCTTGGTTTTTTTCTGAGATGAAGTCTCGCTCTGTCGCCCAGGCCAGAGTGCAGTGGCGCGATCTTGGCTCACTGCAACCTCTGCCTCCCGGGTTCAAGCAATTCACCTGCCTCAGCCTCCCGAGTAGCTGGGACCGCAGACGCATGCCACCATGGCCAGCTAATTTTTCGTATTTTTAGTAGAGACAGGGGTTCCCCGTGTAAGCTAGGATGGTCTCAATCTCCTGACCTCGTGATTCCCTCACCTTGGCCTCCCAAAGTGCTGGAATTACAGGCGTAAGTCACTGTGCCTTGTTCATTTTTTTATGCCCACAGCATGTAACAGCCTCTGAGACATAGTAGTTTCTCAGTAAATTCCATTAAGCTGAAGAAAACATGGCCTTACCACACCTTGTTAGAACTTATTACAAAAACATACCCCTAATCTATGGAAACTGCTTACCTGGCATTCCTTAATGACCATGTGATGGTTAATACTGAGTGCCAAATTGATTAGACTGAAGGATACAAAGTATTGAGCCTGGGTGTGTCTGTGAGGGTGTTGCCAAAGGAGATTAACATTTGAGTGGATGGGCTGGGAAAGGCAGACCCACCCTAATCTGAGTGGGCACAATCTAATCAGCTACCAGCATGGCTAAAATATAAGCAGGCAGAAAAATATGAAAAGAGAGACTGGTCCAGTCTCCCAGCCTACATTTTTCTCCCGTGCTGGATGCTTCCTGCCCTTGAACACTGGACTCCAAGTTTTTCAGTTTTGTAACTTGGACTGGCTGTCCTTGCTCCTCAGCCTGCAGATGGCCTATTGTGGGACCTTGTGATCGTGTGAGTAAATACTTAATAAACTCCCCTTTATAAAGAGATCTATTCCATTAGTTCCATCCCTCTAGAGAACCCTGACTAATACAGACCATCTCAACCCTCTTCCTTCCTGTAATTTCTTATTACCATTCATTAGCTATTTTACCTGTAAGTATAGTCCAACTCTCAATTGGACTTCATACTTTTATTATGCCACCACTGCCAACAAAGCAATTGTGATGCAAACCCCACCCAATCCTTGTTTTCTAGAATTAATACTAACAGAACAAATTCACTTGGCAGATTTATGAAAACAATTACTGAATGCCCTCAGAGGTCCTTCTAACACTGCAAGATGTCAGAATGGACTATCTGAAGAGCAATTCTGCTTTCCATATAGTATTCTGTCCTCTGACTTAGATCTTATCTTCAATACTTATAGAGCTGTCCAGTCGTAGTTCATGGGAATTACAGTATTGTAGCCCATCAATAACTTAAGCCATCTTTCTAGTAAATAGATTCAATTCCCCCTTAGTCAGTTGGTCAGTGTGGTATTTTTTATCACAACCCGTTTACACTGTAGAAGGAACTGTTGTCTCATGCAGTATTAGAACTGGTCTGATCAGAAGTTCAATCCCATTAAAAGATAAGGGAAAACTGCTCACTAGCTCCCAAATTAAAGAGCTATGATTAAGAGTCATCTCTGACTCTCATAACTTAACTGAACTACAGCAGTGAAAGCTTTCTGTTCAGAAATGATAAAGACTTTAACTTGGAAGAAAATTCTAAGTACATTCCTCTTGTTGTCAGAATTGTGAAGTTGAGAAAAAGAAAACGGAGAAATGCAATATTAATGCACAACAAAAGTTTCTGGCCAAAACATTCTGAGGCAGCAAAACATTCTAAATTCCCTAATTCAAGTGGCATAAATATAAATTTGTATTTGTTTCTATCAAAAATGGCTAGAAATGCACAGGTTCATTGTTAAAGTTCAGTGTTCAACCACTATACTTTCATTTTCTTGTTAAGAATGCTTTGTTTTAGGAGGCTTCCCTAATGTATAGTTGACCTTCAAAGGTAAACCTCATCTTTCCATCACCTCCCACCCATGTCTTACTCACCAATCTCAGGGCATTATCTGTGGTTACTCAAATATTCTCATCTTCATGTCATTGTTCTATCCATAACGAACTAACTTGAGAACTCCATATTTTTGTAAGGCCAAGTTTAAATATAGCTTTTTTCCAGGAGCTGTCTATGACATGCTGGTAGCATCATACCCTACCTTTCTCCCAGCACAAACAACAGAATTAGTTCTTCCTTCTTCTGTGTTCCCTTGTCAATGTTCACATATATTTATAATCTGGTTCTTAATATTTCAACAGTTTTGCTTTCCTTTATTCTCTCATTCTAGGCCTACATATTTAACTTTTAAATGTTAAAATAAAAAACATAGAGATTCCCTAAACGGACTGGAGGGATTTCTTCCCCTGCAATTAAGTATTATAGCTTCACATGTTCAGTTACATGACAAAATAAATGGCTAAACCAAATAGGATGGCTTAAAGATCATAAATATTACAATAACTTTAGGATTCAAAGATCAATTACCTTGCTTTCTGCTAACCAGCGATGTGGGTCATAATGTATATCAGGACCAGATGAAAAAACCTACAAAAGAGAAAAGAGTCTATCAGAAATACATTTTTCTCTGACATAAATATATAAATGAAATTCTTCACCACAGCATCCAAAAGTATAGTCCCCCAATTTAAGGATTTGAAAAGAAAAATGTTTGCCCCAAATACTCAACCAGTTCCAAACCAGCATTCATTTACATGCCTCTTTATGTATGTATTCATTTATTTATGTATTGGCAATAAATATTGTTATGGAAAAATCAACTATCAAGTGCTATCATTGCTAGGATCTGTGGAGGCTGATTCTATGGAGCTCCATATGGCAAACAGTTTCAATTAAAGTCAGGTTACTTCATTTTTGTTTGTTTCCTTTCTTCAGCCTTGTTCTGCATAATGTATTTCAAAGAGGGTTTTATGTGATTACATGGAAACAATCCTTTCTCTCATTTATCCTTAATTTAATACTAAATTTAACCCTAATTTAATACTAAAAGGGCCATTTTGTCTTATCAATGATTGTCAATAGACACAAACTCATCAACACGACTTCAAGCAAACATTGCTTTGTATTTCAAAATAATAACAAAATTCTACAATAATAGTTCACCTATACTAGCTGCTTTGACTTCCTTCATGCCAACTCATTTATAAAATCCCTTGCCTCTGGTTTTGTCATATTACTAAACTGTATTCAAAGTTGGCAATGATTTTATAATTGTAAATACAAAAGTTTTTTCTCAATTTGTACTTTTGTTGAACTCCGTGCTACAAATAATATTTTTGAAGACCTCTTTCTCAAATTTGCCTGTTTAAAAATACCTTATCCCTCTACAAAGAGAAGTCTATTCCTATTCTCAAATACCTCCATACCTCCTGAGCTGTGTGAACATTGCTTCTTTGTCAGGAATATCATTAGTTAACTCATTTAGACAAATGCTGAAAGCATACTAAGTGCCTACCACGTACCACATACATGAATATTGTATTCCTATATCCAATTTTCTCTCATCCACCTTTCTATCTAAATCTCACCCAATCTCATATCCTCCCTGCCTTTTCAAGGAAATTTTCCCTAATCACTCGAGTTCACAGTATATTCTTCCTCTTCCAATTCTCTACTACATTGCTGAATATTTGCAAACATCCATTTGTCATTGATTAGAATACACTTTTATTATTTTCTTTCTCATTTATGAATGTCATACATGTCAATTAAATCTTCTGTGGCCTAATAAAAATATTAATGTTTAATATCAAAGTAAAAGATAATTGGATACAATAAGTACAAGTAATGTTCACATTTTATTATTTGCTTTACAGAAATATCTATAGCTTCATGTTTAAGAAGATAGCCTTAACTGGGCGGGTGTGGTAGTTCACGCCTGTAATTCCAGCACTTTGGGAGGCCAAGGCTGGTGGATCACCTGAGGTCAGGAGTTCAAGATCAGCCTGGTCAACATGGTGAAACCCTGTCTCTACTAAAAATACAAAAATTAGCTGGGCGTGGTGGCACACGCCTGTAATCCCAGCTACTCAGAAGGCTGAGGCAGGAAAATTGCTTGAACCCACGACACGGAGGTTGCAGTGAGCAGAGATCGCGCCATTGCACTCCAGTCTCGGGGGACAAGAGCAAGACTTTGTCTCAAAAAAAAAAAAACAAAGAAGAAGAAGAAGAAGATAGCCTTAACTATTTAACAAATGGTGTCAGCACAGCGTCTGGCACAGAGAACACAATAAACCCCTGTTACTGGATATCAAGATGTCACTATCAATAAATAGGCTTCAAGGTCTAAGGTCTACTATGAAAAAAGCACTATAACAGGCATTTGTCATTACAAACATAAAGAAAGAGAAGCCATATGTATTTGTGAACATATTACCAAAAAAGGCAATACAAAATAATGATAGGTAACATTGAGTATCTACTAAGTGCAAGATATTTGACCCTATAATATGCACCTTCTATATCTTATCTTACTTTATCTTCTCAATGAACCAACTTACAACTGGGGACATGAACTCTTAGAGAGGAAAGAGCTTACATAACTTATCCAAGGTCATATATTAGAAATTTGCAATGACTTCCAATGTGAACCTATACCTGTCTTGATCCAAAGCCCATCATCATCATGCTCTAAAACTGAATTAATACTCAGACCAAGTGTTATGGAAAGAGAGAGACTAAAATAAGTGCAGTGCAGAACTAATCTATTTACCTGAGCTCTTGAATTATCAAAAACTGGCCTGTGAGAATGATATATCTTTAATTCAGACACTTTCCTAATTGTTTTATAATTGTAGTGTACGTCTGTCCTTCATTGTCAAACACATACATTAACTAAAGTGGAATAAGTAACAAATAAATAAGTAACAAGTACAATGACTTGAAAAAGAAAAATGTAACTAAAAATAACATCAACATTCCCAGGACTTTTCTCAAACTCATTTATTACATATCTATGTTCTAATCTATTCCATAGCACTGCTACTCTTTACATACAATGGCTGAAAATCTCATCAGCAATATTTCAGGAATCAATAAATGACTAAATGGAATTATTTCTTTTTTGAAAACATTTTACATACTTATTCCACACTCTGTCAGAACTATAAACTATAAAGCAAAGAATAAATTTTATCTTTACCACACCCCTGGGTGGTTTCTTGAGTATGTTTCTTGAGTGCTATGTTCTTGAGCACTCATTTTTTTCACAGGTTTATAGCAATAAAACAGAAGTTACTAATGAAAAGAGGCCCACAATGAAAAAAATGTAGACTCTTAAAAAATTAATAAAATTTCCTTTCTTTTAGATTTATTTTCCACCCAAGACTTGGATTAAATTCGTCTTTCTCTAGGGGAAGAAGTGTAAACTACCACAGTCACTCCATGTCTGAAAGCCTATAAAAAATTGGATACTTTTTGGAATATTTTGGAAGGATAATTTGTGACTCATAAAGAAATAAAATATTTAAGCAATCTGCTATCTGCAGATCATGTATTTGCCTGCAATTGCCCATTAAAAAGTGTGCACATATACACATGTATGTGTGTGCATATATGTGTGTGTGTGTGTGTATATATATATATCTTACAACATGATCCAAATGTTTCCATTTTACCTTCCCACATGATTGAAAACAAACCATCCTGTTACAAATATTTAAATACAGAATACATATTCCATTGCTAATATATACTTCTTTGAGATAAAAACTATGATCTTCAAGGCTCCATATTCATTAAATAAATGCAAATGTGACAAGTCTTAAATTTAAAAGCAGCATTAGACAGGAAAAAAAATAAGTCAGAATTATCACAAGCCCTACAATAGCTCTAAAAGAGTTAGTTTTCCCCCTAAAGCCAATTATTTCTCATATTAGACTCATAGTCCTTTCAAACTAATACTTGAACTTAAATAAAAACTGTAAATGGGAATACACATTGTAAAAATTCCATCAACTCTACCAAATTCTATTAGTTAAAATATTTCCATTAAAGACAAATTCTATAAACGACTTGACTGCAAGAGAATAACAGTTATATTTTCTTTTAAACACAATTTAAGATAGAAGAAAAGGCAGAAAGAGTACGAAAAAAGAGGGGAACATAGTAGTATGAGAAAGGAAGGTCATTCTAGAGGAGGAAAAAGACAAATGTCAAAATCAATAGTAGAAACTTCTGAAAAGTAAAAATCATTTCAGCATAATATCAAAATGTGAGTGCCATCATATCACCCAACGCAGTAAATAGAGGGGTAAATGATGCTAAACTGTAACGTATTATGGTTACACATATCAAAGCAACGTAATGCTCTCTGTATGTAAAATGGCAGCATAACCTACAGTTGACAGAAGTGCTTACCTGCAAGAAATTCAGAGCATCCATGATCACTTCTGTTTTTATTTATCATTTTACTATGACTCTAAATTGGGTAGCAGTATTCCATTTGTTAAAATAGAAAAACTACATTAAATATAGTTGGTTTAAATAGGGAAGGCAGATAACATAGTGGTTATTAATTTAGGTTCCAGCGTTAGACTCCATAGGTTTGAAGTCCTAGTTTAGCATTTAACCAGATGTACAGCCAAGGGCAAGTTACTTAAACCGTCCAAACCTCCTTTTCTCTTAAGTGGGTTTAATCAGAGTAACTAAAAGATAGGGTTGTTTCAGAGGATAATGGAGAGACTAAAGCTCCATGCATACTACATACAGTACCTATACTAGAGAACTCAATAAATGTTAGCTGGTAATATACTAACAACAACAAAAATAGCCTGTGATAGTGAAAACTCAAATTCCAGGCCTCTTGAATCCAAGAGATACCTCTCTAATAAGGCTTTTTTCTTTTTTTTTTTTTAACAGAGTGGGACACGGCAATTCAATGAAAGAACACCATTCGTTCTCTCACCACAACTGTGCAACAGATCCAGTGCCTTGTTCTAAAAAATGCAAAATGTTATTTTGTTTTATAGAATTTTACATAATAACAATCTGACTACCATACATTAAAATCCTACTAAAATTATATATTAGGAAACTAACTGAAAATATAAGGCACAATGAGAATTCATAATTACTTTTAATTTCTCCATTGAGTCCTTGGAGAATGTTTTGCAGGCTGCATCAATTTCCTTTCCTATCACACCAAGAATGGATTCCTGTTCAGTCTCCAAGCAAAGAAGTTGATCCTTGAGCTGCAATCTGGCCTCTTCGGTCCTCCTTAAGTGCTCTTCTTCAATGCTTATATGTTTTTCCTAAGGCATTGACAAGAAATTAAACAACGTGATTACTATTAAGTGGAGGCAAGAAATACTTATAATATCTGTTCAACCAACTAGCAGTGGATTAGAAAAGAAATCTGATTCCATCAGTCCCCTTACTTTACCAAAATAAAACACTTTAATCTACTCATTAACTGAGGTAAAATTGTAGAGTTCCATCGTAGGGCAGTTTGGGAACTGGTGAGCAGATATTTGGCAAACAAAATTATAATTCCCTAACCGAAAGAAAAAAATAAGTAGAAAAAAGAACCTTTTCCCATTTTAATAACATATTCTCACTAATGAACGAGAGTAAAAACTGGTATCAGACACTGACTTCAAGCTTTCACTGAACATTAGTAAAACATCAGAAAATATAAACTGCTAAATATGATGCTAGTTTCTTCAATTGAGGAAAAAAATAAGTGTTACCACCTTTATCTCATCAAAATATAGTTTCAGAAAAATTCTAAGTTTTCAAATGCAATTATACCACATAAATGCTTCTGAGTCATGAAAATTTGATAAGAGAAAGATGAAGGTACTTTTCATCTGGTCATTGTATACTTAATGAAAAGGGGTTTCTAAGGAGCCCTTTAAGAGATTACAAGGACTTGGGGACCCACTCTAGGCAAAAACAATTCTAAATCATTATGATTATACAGTTACATTACTAGAGAAATTGCAAATCATAGGGCTTGTAATAAAATAACAAAATCACTAGAACTATATGTCTAAATGCTGGACCAAATCCATGATGGCTAACTATAACACCTTCAGTCATCACACTGTAACCTAATCATCTTCAACTGGCCTACTAAATACAACAAAACCAGGAAAATTATGTGAGCAACAAACCTAACCTGAATTGAAAAAAAAAATAACAAGGAGATCCACTCATTAAGAATTAATCATTTAAGCTAGAACGATATTTTACTAAAAGAAACATACATGATATTTCCTTTCAATTCAACTTACTTTAAAAACAAATGAAACATCCTCTGCCAGAAAGGACAGACCCTTTCATAATCTATCTTCTGCACTTCTCTCTTGCCTCACCTTCCTCCTTTCCACCCTCTCGGAATTTGATTACTTACAGCATCTTAAATCCACCTACATATGTCTCCCCGGACCACATCTGACTTGTACAACCCTGCTTGAAGTTGTGCTACTTCAAAATGGGGCTAGTAGCCAAGAGACATTTATCTCAAGGAGTTCATCTTAGTCCATCATCCTGGTCTGGATCTCAGCTTTTTAAAACTAGGAACTGGAATTTCTTTTTGGTACTCAAGAGTGGTACTTTCAGCAGCAGAGTAACATTAAGCTCACAAGAGATTAATGTGTATGAACTAGAAAGCCACTAAACGACATTCATTTACGATGAGAACCATAACTACCATATGAATCGGAATGTCCATGTCAGCATAACCAGTACCTGTTCTCCCTACAGACAGATCTAGATGGGAAAGCAAACTATAATCAGACTATAGGTTAATGAATAGGAAATTAGAGCAAGGGGAGTTTGTTTTATGAAACAATGTTTAAATGGCATCCTGCTAATGGAAGTCCAGCATGTTCACCACACATCAGGAATTTACAAACCACAGTAACAGGATCTCCATTCTTCTAGGTAGTGTTTGCATGAGGGTACTGAGATGCATCTCCCTAACTTTCTTGTTTTTCTACATTGAGTTTCTGTCCAAACTCTCCCTACCAATTGATATTAATACATCATTTCTTCAGATTTATTAATATTTTCCCAAGTCTTGCTCGCATCTAGGAGTTTTCTGAAAAATTAACATCCCAGCTCTGAAGAGTATTTGATAATTGTATCATTGACTCATTAGAAAGCAACATTATTACTAAGTCTCTAGGTGATATTTGCCTCCCTACTGTTCCTATGTATCTACTACCTATACCTTCTTATCCTTCAAAAGTTATCCTTTAAGATGCTGCGTCCTTTCTTCCTGAACTCCCAAAGCAAATCATTCCCCTAGTATATTAGGTATATCATAATTTTTAATTTTTTTCAAATTGTAATATAATTATTTGCTTGTGCACCTATCTCCCCAAATAAACTGCTAACTTCAGGGGTCCACAAAGCATGCTTGTAATCATCTTTAAACTCTTCCACTTTGCTGAATAAATGATTTAAACATTTTTTGAAGACTCAAATTCAATACGTTAAAGATGATTTCATCAATTACCATGCACAGCTTATAACCTTGGAGGCTACTGAGGTGCGCTAGGAGGTTTCTCCCCACACATACATAGGGCCTCCTGATGGTGCAGTATTTTCACAGTCTGAAAGTAATAAAGAAAATAAATACCCTATCAGGGTATTAGAAGACTGCCCATATTTTAAGCAATTCAGAATAATGTTATAACTGATCTTTCTTTTCTCACTTCCCTCAAAGCCAACTCTCTTTTATCCACTACTACTTTTCTGTGGTCTCCATTACTGGTCTCTTATTAATAAGAAGACAAAACTATTTCAATCTTTTGATATTCCTGAGAATGTTGATATTGTCAGAAAAACCTCTGTAAGTTCAGTCTCTTTAGAAAACATAGAAAATTTCATTATCCACTTCACTATCCTCTGTGGGACAGTTGTATGCTATGTCCAAGCTCCCTTTGAAGTAAAAGCTGTAGGACTATGAGCTCACATGGATCTTAAAGATCAGTAAATTCAACTACTTGCTCCTTCAGGGTTCCCTTTTTTGGCATTTTTGACAGTTGAGTCATCCAACCACTAAATGAACACAAGTGTCCAGGAACAGAGTACCTGACAAAGCTGTAAACTTTCTCCATCAGTGTCCAAGCTATATGCAACAATTAAAGTAAAGAAACAGATCCTCCTCCCCCACTAAGGCTTCTAAACTTCCAGGTTAAGATTTCTGCTCTTTTCCCCTGTTTTTTATTTGATTAGGTTTCAGATGCATAGTGGTCTCCATTGTCTGCATGTACTCCAATACCCTAAATCCAAGAGTTAAGTAAGCTCTTCCATACCATACTTCAGCAGTTATAATTTCATTCATTCATTTGTTCGTTCATTCATTCATTCCCTCATCCAACAAATACTTACATAAGTCCTACTCCAGACAAGACATTCTCAGCCGGGCACGGTGGCTCAGCACTTTGGGAGGCCGAGGCGGGCAGATCGCAAGGTTAGGAGATTGAGACCACCCTGGCTAACACAGTGAAACCCCGTCTCTACTAAAAATACAAAAAATTAGTCGGGCGTGGTGGCTGTAGTCCCACCTACTCGGGAGGCTGAGGCAGGAGAATGGTGTGACCCCAAAAGCTGTAGTCCTACAACTTTTACTACAAAGAGAGCTTGGACATAGCATACAACTGTCCCACAAAGGACAGTGTAGTGGATAATGAAACTTCCTATGTTTTCTAAAGAGACTGAACTTACGGAGCTTGCAGTGAGCTGAGATCGCGCCACTGCAATCCAGCCTGGGTGACAGAGCAAGACTCTGTCTCAAAAAAAAAAAAAAAAAGACATGCTCGTCTCCACTAGAGATGGAGTAAGTGATTGCTTCTCAGCCTTTTGGCTAAGATCAAGTGTGGAGATAGAGTAAATGACACAGACAGGTAAGCTCCTGCTCTCATAGAGTCAACAAATACTTGCACGAAATGTCATTACTTTTGCCCCATTCGTCTGGTTTGGGCATATTTATTTGAACACTAATTATGGTACCCAATGAATTAGCGCTTTCTCCCAGTTTCATCTTTTAGAAACAGATGTGCTGACTAAGCAAACACAGCTAATTCTGGGGGAAGGTTGGGGCTGGAAATTGGCCGAAGTTAATCCAAGCATCCTGTTAGATTTAGAGGCATTCAAATAAGAAAGGGAAGATGATAACATTTAGGCACTATTAAGGCTATTCCCTGGTCTTCTAGTCAATTCAGAGGGGTCAATATCCCCTGATTCTACAAGATTAACAAAAGACTACCAAATTTCTAGAAAACCAGAGGCAAAATGTGGTATTTTCGAGAATGATTAGAAATATGGAAGACACAATCTAACTTCAATGATTCAGGGTAAATGGACACAGATGCCTGGAGCCAGGGAATGTAGGTTAACTTCTTTTGGAGGGTAGCGAGGACGACAAATAAAGCCGACTACAGCAGTCTATGAGATCCAAGAAGAAAGATATCCTAGATAATGGCTGAGTTTGAGAAAGAACCTCAGAGAATAAACCAACCCCTAATTTTACATTTTAGATAACCAAAGCTCAGACAGACTACATAACTTGACTAAAGTGAAAGAACTTATTAAATACAAGCCCATAACCTGATCCCCTGACTAGTATTCTCTCTTAAAATGCCAGAAAGGTCAAGGCCTTAACAAGAGAATTTAGAAAAGCAACGTGAAAAATTCAGAAAAGTTTTCAGCAGGTTATGTGAGGACTAATGACCTAAGGTAGAAAGGAGAAATCAAAAATTAAATTCTGAATGAGCCTTATTATAAATGAAAATATATGACATACTGACATATTCAGAATAGACCACAAAATCAAAAGCACACTGAACGTGCATAATATCCCAAACTTTTAAAAGGGCTATCCATCTGCGCTGAAGAAGTACCTGTGTACACAGAAAATCTGCTTTAGTCCAATTTTCAAAAGTGTGCTAATCACGCACTGAACAAGGTATACTTCCATCAACAAGACAGGAAAGGTTTTATGAAGCTTCTATTTTAGGACAAGAAAGTCTCATATTGTTGACACTTAAGTATAAAGAAAACATAAAATAAAACTGCTGACAATCTCATGATAAACACACACACACACTCTGTTGACTGGTTTGATGAACTGTCCTATAAATCAAAAGATAAGAAATGCTGTTGTAATTATAGATTTATGTTTCAGCATGCTCGTTACAACTCAGTGCATTCACTTTCCTAGAGGCTTTAAAGATTATAAGGAGACAGATCTTATCAGAAATATAAAAGTTTCAATAACACAAGAGCATGTCCAAAATAG